CCAATTACACAAGTAATATAAGAATATATTCCCATTATAAAAATCCAATGGTATTGATGTTAATCACCCCCAATCTCAGCACAGACCCTCAAAGTTAACTGTAGTTACAGGTGTGGCAGTTATACTTTCCAAGTTTCTTCTTTAAAAAAAAAAAAAAAAAAATATGGAATCTTGCTCTGTTGCCCAGGCTGGAGTGCAGTGGCATGATCACAGCTCATTGCAGCTTAAAACTCCTGGATCAAGCGATCTTCCTGCCTCAGCCTCTGAGTGGCTAGGACTACAGATACACACCACCACATCCAGCTAATTTTACATTATTTTTTTGTAGAGTTGAAGTCTCATTATGTTGCCTAGACTGATCTCAAACTCCTGGCTTCATGCAATCCTCCCATCTTGGGTTCTCAAAGCTCTGGGTCTACAGGTGCATGCCATCATACCAGGCTAATTTCTACTTTTTTCCCCCTAGGAATTGATAAAAATGTTTTAATTTACAGAAATATATGCAGCTTTGTAGTGTTCTGTACAAATATTATGCAGTTTAGTTAGCCCCTTAAGCAATATGACTTGCTGATGATTTCACCTCTGTATGGGGATCTGGCTTATTCTTTTAAACTGCTTTAGTGTGTATTTCCCATGATTACTTATTTATCCTTCGATTTAGTCATTTTTAACTTTTCGCTATTACAAACCATGCTGCTTGGATGTCCCTGACATGTCATTTTGTACACTGTCCCAGAAGCACTGAGCAAGATAGCTAGGATAGCTTATCATATCCTTGCCAATGATTTGTAATTTATATTATTACTTTCTAATTAATCCAGATTAAAGCTATGGTTAGCTTTTCAATATCCTTTTTTGTTGCTTATTTACTTACTGTGTATAGTGAAAGCTGCCTGTACAATTTTGTCTCTTTTTGGAATTTTTCGAAATTCCCATTAATAAGTTAATGCTAACGACCATTCACTTGCATTTGAGAAGAAACTAGAAAGTTCTCCCTTCATATATCAAACTGTTATTTCGCTATCCAAATCCTCTGTGTCTGCTCTCACCTTCCACTCGACTTGATTTTTAAGGCAGCACCCATGATTATGACTTTGTCAATTTTTTTCACTGTGTTTCTATTTGTTTTCCTCACTATAATTCCTAGTGATGGGACATAAAGTTCATGACTATTGGACCCTCTTGGTAAACTCTTTGTTTTTATGAGCTATCCTTTAAAATTATTTTTACCTTTAATTCAGTTTTGTTAGACATTAACTTTGCTATTTCTGCTTTCCCTTTTGAAGCATTTATATGGTCTTTTCCCATCTATTTCAACTTCCCTATGTGTTTTGTTTTAGGTGTTTCTAACTGTATGTATGTAGCTGGGATTTAAAATTGTATTTCGCCCCATCTGAACATCTTTTCATAGGTGAACTTAACTCGTTTGCAACTACAAATATCACTATGTTCGGCTATGTTCCCACCTTATTTTATTTTCCATTTATCATGATTTTTAAAAAAAATGTTAAAGTTAGGTTTTTCTTTATATGTGTGCTATCTGTACACATAATTGGAAATCAAACACTCTGCAAAGTTCTCACTCAGATTTCAATCATGCTTTTTTGCCATTCTCCCCATCCTAGGGTGGCTTCATTATTTTCTTAAAACATTTTTTTTCAGATCGAGTCAAACACAGCACACAATACGTCCTAGGCAAAACTCGAATGGAGGTAAATTTTATTTTGTATTTCCTTAGTTCCTGTTTCAGTACTGTTCTCATCCCTCTGGCTGCATCTTCCTATTGCTCTGCTCACCTACTCCCTGTCCTTCCTCCCCAAACACACATGAATCCGCCACACCTATTTGTCTCGCGGGCCCTGTTCTCAGCTAGTTTCTCCCTTTGAAAAGATCAGAAACTCATTCATGAAGAATTTTGAACTCATACTAGCTGGTGGTGGCATTTTACTGGAAGGCTCCTAAAGATAAACAAGACTTCAAGACTCAAAGGAATGAAACTGGGAGGGCTTTCATCAGCCAGTCCAAGTTTGAGTCCCGTTTCTGCCATCTACCAATAAGCATCTTATCTAACTTTTCAATGCCTCAGTCTCTTTGACTGTAATATGGGATCAAGAGTACCTACCTCATGGGGCTTTTGTGAGTTCATATGCATAGAATCATGGCTAGTGCGTGGTAAGAGCTCAAGAGATGTAAGCATTTGTTATTATGCTAATGAATTGGAAGAAACACTTCTGCCAGGGATGAATTTGGTAGTTTTCTACTCAATCTTTTTGTAAGGAAACACTAATGAGAACAGAAAAAAAAAACACCTGAGATGGGGATATATTTAAACAAGGAGCTGTTCTTATTTATCTTTGCATGGTGGCTCAAAGCACATAGCACCCTGCACTGTGACCACTCAGTATGTGTTGGTGAAAGACAAAGGAAAAAAAAAAAGAACTGTTATCTAGATTTCTAAAATAATGCAGATAATAATGGGGAGAAAATAAGCTGAAATCTCTTATGCCTTTGGAAAAACAATGTACCACTGAGTAAAAAGTGCAATAACACAAAATTTCTAAAAGTAATACTATAAAGCACAGGCATAAATATCAGCCAGATAATATCTGTAAAGTGAGGAAATGCTCAAAAGAGGTGACTTCTTTACTGAAGAGCTGCGTATTTTGCCATTAAAAAAAGGGTCCCCTGGCAAAACTTCCTTCAGCGTCATACATTTAAACTTAGTCTACATTTTAAGATGTCTCTTCTCTGAAAACAAAATTGGCTTACACGAGAGGTAAGCTATTGGCTTGGTAAACAAAGGATATTTTGCAGAAAGATGGATTACATTATTTTCTTATTTTGTATGTATAACAAACAATTCTGTTTTATAAGAGTAGCAAAAATCTCCAGTTCATTTCGTCTTTTATTTTTTCATTCTCCAGAGAATATCGGTTTTGTAACATTGAATACAGTCTAATATATACCATTAAAACAAAACTTCCATTTTACAAAAGATCAGCAAAAATATATCAGCAAGGATAAAACTAGTGCATTTATAAAATACATCATAACAACGACATCACATGATCACACAATCATCTTCACATTTGATCTACCAGTTGTAGCCTAGGAGAGCTTGCTAAACGCCAGTGTCTTTGGCAAGTGATTCGTATATGTAAGTGATGACACTGATCAGTCATAACATTTCTAAAATGTCAATTGTCTAAATGTCTAAAACAAACCAACAAGAGTACTGGAATATAACAAAGATGAAATCCAAAACCTGTTGCACAGAGACCATATTTAGTAACAGGAAGAACAATGAATTAGGAGCTGGTACATCTGAATTCTTGTCTTTGTCCCTGATCTTGGGCGAGTAGTGTAGGCTATGAATCCTTCACTTTGAAAATGAGAGTAGGCTGGATGGTCCTCAAAGGTCTTTCTAGGTTTAACTTTCCATGATTATGACACTGGTTCATTTTCATGTTGTAAAATTAATCTCTAACAACAGTAACTTGGCAGTTGGATTGAGTCCAGCTCCACCCACATAAATCTGTTCAAGCAGCTCCTTACTTTCTGAGCCCCAAGGTAGCACAATTCTCAAATTAACAAGCAGCATGACAGGCTTCAGGAGGCTAAATGCTGGTTTTCCACCAGACATAAACTCAAGATAAATAGTCTTGAAGTTTCCAAAGTCATGGTTATCAGAAGCAAAGCTATAATGTAAGAACTACAGGGAAACCTGCAACATCCTCTTTGGAAAAATGATAAAATAATGCATTTTACCACTCACTGATTCACTAACAGAAGAAGGTCGGTGTATATATTAACTATAATACATAATAAAACTAATTTTAATTATTCTTTGTGAACATGCACAAAGTATATAGACAAAATTAGAACTTGATCAATAAATATTTATTGTACTTTCACATGTCTATAAGTCTACAGAAAGAAGTTGAAATTATTTTTGGTAATGTTGCCTTTTGTTCCATTATCTGTAAAGCCCACCTCTTACATACAATCACAGAAGTTAAAGATGTCGGAGGCTCCTTTAGGGCATTTCATCCAACCCCAACTTTTCTTATCGGATGACTATCTTTCTGTTCTGAAAGACTGAGTGGGTTTTCATCATATCCCCATTTGAAAGTCAAGTAGACTCTATCTCTTTGGATCCAAGGTCTAAAATTGTCCTTATTTCTTTCTAACATTTAATGTAATTCCTATCTCAATTATTTTTACATGATTTTGAATATCTAACTATGATTTGCAGTACAGAAATTAATCCAATTCAATAAACATAAACGTGCAAAACATAATTACTCTGAAAATGTCAGGTTTTCTTAATAAACATTGTGCTTTCATTAAAGTACTAAAATGCTTCTCACTTAATAGCAATGATTATTTTAAACAACCGCACAAGCCTTAACCTTTTTTTCTCTAACCCATGCCCATCTTTCAGAAAATATAAAAACTCACATTCCTCTGCTGTTTACTTCCCTATCCTAATGGGACTTCGGGACTGTATCCTAGAGAGGTCTCTTCTGACTGAGAATCCCTAATACTGAATAAGTGGCATCACCAGCTATATGTTATGTGGCGGTTTGTTTGTCTATAATTTGTATGGTAAAACAATAGATTTATTTTTGCCTTCTCAAATATGAAAGTATTTTAATATTGACTATGCTTTTCTATATTCTCCTTCCCCTGGCCACATTTCTTAGGAGATTTTGATACACTTCTTTATGGGTAAGAGATTTCTCTCTTAAGAATCACTGAACCAGCCGGGCTCGGTGGCTCAGCCTGTAATCCAGGGCTTTGGGAGGCTGTGGTGAGTGGACTGCCTGAGCCTGGGCAACTTGGTGAGACCTCATCTCTACTATAAATAAAAAAAATCAGTCGGGCATGGTAGCGCATATCTGTAATTCTGGCTACTTGGAAAGTTGAGGCGGAAGGATCGCCGGAGCCCCAGCAGGTTGAGCCTGCAGTGGCCGGGAGCGGCCACTGCACTCTAGTCTGGGCGACAGAGGGAGACTCCAGCTCAAAAAAAAAAAAATCACTGAGCCAAAACCTAGATTCTGAATTACTATTCAGGATAAAACCCAATAACCAAGTTTGAGGTAACAACATTCACTTAAAATACAGAAAGAAATTGTACTATTGAAAAATAGTGCATGATAGAATGACTATTATCATACTGAATTGAGTATTTTCTGATTATTAAAGCAAAATTACTTAAACTTTGTATTTGAAAACTAACATAGAGACTTGCTTTTAAAATGACCTACTGAAACTAAGTGCATCTTTTATATAGTTCAATCATAGTAACAAATTATATTGTTTTACTTTGTTAAAATAATGTTTTCTTCAATTATATGACCTTCAAAGTTGTTAGACTCTTATTTTCCACCAATTCTGGTATCTAAAATTAGAATTTTAGATTTTCTTAAGTAAATTATCAGTTTTTTTGCTTAGCAACTTAGAATTAAATCTATAAAGCATTAAATAAAGAGTACCTACTATAACAAATGCTTCTCTGACTAGTGTCACAAAACACAGATTTAATAGTAATATAAAATAACTATTTGTGTAATATGATACTTCAAATGTCTTTATTTTTCTAAATGCCGATGAATTTCTGAATGCTCTAAAACCAGAATTATAATATAAATATGTATAGAACTTTTAAAAGTTTTGGAAAAAATATGGGCCCTCTTCCATCCAAATTTAAAAATTGATCTCCTGTGCCTTAAGTTAGCAGACTGAAAAGATAAAACTGAAAAGCCCTATGCCCAGGACCATGACAAAGAGGGTAAAAAAAATACTTCAAAGCTATGGAGGTTTATTCCTCCAACAAGGCACAATAGTTTAAAATTTTACAACAGGGACACCAGGCAAGGGTCCCATTCCTATAGATGTCAGTATTCTGCATCAATGTGCTTTGCAATGGTGTTCAGTTGGATATTGGAAGCTCCTTCATAGATCGTACCTTAAACAAAAGGGAGCAAAAGGAACAATTAGGAGTGAATCCAGAATCTACACAAAAAATAGCTCTATAAACATTACCTCTGCATTTGCTATAAAATTGCTTCTAGTAACATCCTTCAATGCCCCCGAATGTGGGACTGTTTGACAAAGTGAATTTGACTAAGAGATGACAATTTTCCATTTGGTTCATAGATGTCCAAATCATTATTAGACTTTGGTTCCTCTATCAATACATAAACTCAGAAGTTTATGAAGGAACAAGTAGCTTTCGAAGTTGTGGTTCTCTTCCTACCAAGTAGTAGAACACTAACCGCTTGGGCTGGATTAAGCACTTAGCTTCCTGACATCAGAATGATATTTCAAAGAGCAGCCTTAAACTACACTAATAAAAACAATTAACATTTTTAGTAAAAGAAAAATCAGACAGTAGATTTTGTTGCAGTTTTACTAAAAAGCTTGTTGAAGCATTTTAAAAGGTAATTTTGTGTTTTTAAACATATAAATCCATTTCTTTTTAAGGTAGCTAAGCCACAAGAAGAGAGCCAACAAATATACTGAGGAAATTAAAATTGCCTTTGCCTAGGTGCCAATAATATAAAATTGACAAATAAAATAGTCAAAACACCTACAGAGGAAAACGAAACAAAACAAAGTAAAAGCCTACTTACCAATCTTTGCATCTCGGAAGTATTTTTCCACGGGGTAATTTTTGGTGTAGCCAACTCCTCCCATCCACTCAATGCACTTACTAGTTGTTAGACCTGCGACCTACCAAAAACAAGCAGCAAATTACTGAAACCACACAACTTATGCATCATAAACACTTCTCTGTAACAGTTTTAGCAACATGGATTCACTGTTCTTGGCAATGGGAAGAAATGAAGTGATTTTATAAATGAGTATTGTCTCTTTGGTTCCAGTTCCATAACATTTCTTTAAAATATCCTATTAATTCACAAAATTCCTGTTTTCTTAAGAAAATCAGAGTATTGCTCACACAATCTGCTTGCTGAGAGGTATCATTTATTCAGGAAACATTTATCAAGGGCCTTCTTCATAAATCTGACACTACATACTCTCTGCTAGTCACTGGAAATGCAGTAGTGGAGGCAGTCATTGCCCTGTTAGTCCTGGTAGTTTAAAAAGCACAGAAACTGATAAACCACCTGGGGCAAGAGAAGAGTTTGTGAGGAAAGCTGAGGTGATACACGTGGTGGAAGAGTTGACAGTGTAGTTGAGGGTTAAAGGATGAGTTAGGGGGCATTTCAAGCTGGAGAACAACACGCAGAACGGCTCCAAGGGAGAATGGGTTCTTCACATTCGGGACCGAATGAGCCAACAGGCTGAGATCAGGGAGAGTTGTGAAAAGAGAATGGAGAGGTAGGCCAACCTTACAGAATGGTGAGCAGTTCAAATACCGTAATGGTCCCTCAAGGACATCCACTTCCTAACCCCTAGAAACTGTGAATATGCTGCCTCCCACGGCAATAGGGATTCTGTAGATTGGATTAAGTTGGGGGCCTTGAGATGGAGAGATTATCCTGGATTGTTTGAGTGGGTCTTATATAATCACAAGGATCCTTAGAAGGGAAAGAGGGAGGCAGGAGACTTGGTCTTTGACAGTGTTGTGACCATGGAAACAGGAAGTTGAGTCAGAGAGATAGTTGAGCATGCTACATTGTTGGCTTCAAAGACAGAGGAAGGGGCTATGAGTCAAGGAATGAGAGTAGCTTCTAGAAGCTAGAAACCAAATCTCCCTAGAACCTCCAGAAAGGCAGCCCTGACAACGCCTTTATTTTATTCCAGTGAGAAGGATCCACTTCAGACATAGGACCTCCAAAAGTAAGAGATAATAAAATTGTATCTTTTTAGGCCATTAAATTCCTGGTAATTTGCTACAGCAGTGACAGACATCTAATACAGAGATAGTTCCATTTGCTGGGAGAAGTCACTGAAGGGTTTAAAGCTGGAGAATGATGTGGCCTCACACACACTTTGAAAAAAGTGAGAGGCTGGATCAGAGGAAGCAACAAAGACCAAGAGAGCAGCCAGGTGACTGCGGTAGACAGGTGGCAGTGCAGAGGGAGAGAAATACACACACGGACTACGTCTTCTGGGGATAGAATCCACAGGAACTGATGATGGATTCAACGTGGGAGACGAAGGAAAGGAGGGAATCAAGGTGACTCCCAGGTTCTGCAGGTGCACTGGGTGGACAGATAAAGCCAGAATTGGGTATATTAGTTTGGAACTCAGAAGGGGAGCTGGAGCAGGAGATTAAATTTAGGGGTTAGAGAGGTTCGTTCAATGAGAATTTTGAAGCCAAGGAATGAATAAGACATACCTCCAAGGCTGAGAAATAGCAGCCCAATATTTGACTAAATTCTCCAGTCAAAGTCTGATGTGTTAAAAATAGAATGCATATATATGAGCAGAAAGTATTAAAAACGTAGGTGATCTTTCTTGTGTTTTTCATCCCATTTGCTCATATTATGAACACATCATCTTCCATGACATTCACTTGGCCTCAAATTGAAGCCACCGGCATGACACCTTGATCCAGGCGGCTCAGCCATGGATTTGAGGTGGGTGGTCTATCTAAATGGGGCTACTCATGAAATATTGAGACTTTCACAGAATTAAAGCATTTTTCTATGGCAGCTTTACTTACTGACTTTTCTGTTAAAGGAACTGGAAAGCCCAGGTTCTCTTACTTGAAAAACAACCAAAGTTCAATCACCATTCCTAAGTGAAAAGGTTGATAAGTACACATCTGTAAAAAAAGAAGGCTAAATTACTTTTTATCCTTACCTCTGATGTATAGTATTTGGCCATAGATGCTTCTTTTATGAATGGCCTTCCAGCTTCTACAAGCCTAGCAGCATTGTATGTTAGCAATCTTGCAGCTTCCAGCTGGGTGGCCACGTGAGCCACTTGGTGTTGGAGTCCCTGTAACATTCAAGTTAGAGAATTATGATTTCCAAAAAAGTGGCTCATCCTTAAAGTCTTGCCTGGATATATAACATGACAAGCTCAAAATACACCCCAAAGGAAGTTCACATTCATTTCTTGTAAATATTTTAAAATCTACGATCTAAAATAAAATCTGACACTATAAGTATTGTTAAATTCTCCCTGAGAAAAACTTCAAAGTTCACATAATTCTTCATAAGTGTCAAGATTTAAATATTAAATTATCAGAGTCAGGTTTAAAAACTTGACTGTTATATTTATATATTTCAATTCTCTTTATGATCAGAATTGCCAAACTAAACTCTAGCCCACCAAAACTTTGGATATATTCTTTAATGGCTTGAATTAGGAAAATTCTTATTTTGAATATGGTCGTACAGCATTAAAAGATGTTAGCTGCAAACTAATGAAGGAATATCTGCTGCACCAATTTTCTTTCTTCTAGTCACTTTATTAACGTGACTCCACTGCACTATCCATTAGTTGTACCTTTTTTTAAAGGGTATAGAAAACAGAAGAATAACTTTAAACAAGACCTTAGAGAAATGACTACCACCCTGAAATCTTAATTAGTAATTAGGCATACACTAAACGTTTTTGTCAGTGAAAGAAACAGTGACTTAGTGAGAGAGAACATAAATATTAACATTTATCTTTATAAGCAGTTTCCTGGAAATGGGCACAGATGTTTATTACATACTGAAATGTTTCTGATGCCTAACCAATCCATCCACCCAGGCATTTACTGAACACCTACAATATGCCAGGCACTATGCTGAGCAATGGAGGCTGCACACTAAACCTTACAGTCAGAGTTCCTTGTTCTCATGATTTATATAGTCCAGCAGGGAAAGCAGACAATTAAATAATTATAATAACATGTGATGAATATAGAGAACCTTGATTAAGGCACTTATATAATAATCCCAGGAATGGTCTTTCCTTAAAAAAAAAAAAAAAAAAGAGAGAGAGAGAGAGGTACACTGGAGAAAAACAGCACTGCTTGCAAATACTCTAGAGTTTTTTTTTTCTTCTGAAATATTTGGTATACACAAATATTTGATATGTACAAAAAGACTAACACATATGTAGGTTATGAAACTTAATAATTAATTGGATATCCATAAACCCATGTGCAGAGCATGTCTTTTCCCTCATGACTTATGTTTTCATTTTTTGGTATCTTTTGAAGAAAAGAAATTTACCAATCTAGTCTTTACGATTAGTCCTTTTTGTGTCTTGTTTATGAAATCTTCACCTATCATGAAGTCATACAGATATTCTCATGTGCTTTCTCCTTAAATTTTAAAAGTGTTTCTTTTCACATTATGTCTTCACATATGAAATCTATTTTCTGTGTATGGTGTGAGGGAGGGATAGTTTCATTTTCTCCACATAGAAAGAATACTCCTACTTAGTGATCTGTAAAGCCACCTCTATTAATTATCAAATGTGCATCATGCATGGGTCTAGTTTTGGCCTTTCTGTTTTGCTGCATTAATCAATCTATCTATTCCTATGCCAATATCACTGTTTCAGAAAGGTTTTTACGGCTTTTTGTATGGAATTCAGAGATTCTGACTATTTTTGCAAAGTATATTAAACTTACACTTTGATTAAACTTACAGTCACCATCCATGCTGTCTATTCCAATTACCTCATCAGGTGCCACGAGAGGCAGAAAGTGACTGAGGGCTGTCTCCTGTTCTATAATAACTCACCATTCCCGAATACGGATTCCCTAACCACATTGTGAATGCAAGGCCTCACATGGAGAATACATCAACAAGTCCGTACTGAATAAACAATGGAAAGAAATAAGAATGAATAGGCCTGGTCTACCCTCAAGGACTTGTAGTCCTCATATGAATGAATGAATGCAAATAAAAAACCAAATCATTCTAATGAGATAGAATAGTTAGGAAAAAACTCTACTAACTTGAATCAAAACTTCACATAGTAATGTTGCTTTTTAAGATCAAATTTCTAAGTTTTATTTTCATTACCACACTAGGCATCTCTAAAAATGCCATCATGATTATATCTATTAGTACTCTTGACTCCTTCTATCTATACATACATAAACATACGTATAAATACACTGTTTCCTGTGTACAAGGAAGATCAACAGCCTTCCTCAAAACTGTCTTTACATTCTGTCCCTTTCATTGCAATCCTTGTGGTAGCGGGCTCTGAGAAAATACTATAGTATAATGAAATGAAAATTGGACTAGAATCCAAGACAAAATCTATAATTTTGGCACCATACCAGTTTTATGACCTTGGGAACTCAATCACCACATGCCTCAGCTTCCTATATATAAGATGGGGATGAGAGCATGGGCTGTGGTAGGTACTGGCAAGGCCTGTCACATTTATCCTTCGGGGTCTTGAATTGACTGTTTATGCCCATGTCCTAGTATTTTTATACACGTGCATCTTGAGTTTGATCATACGATGCCTAGCCATTATTATAAAACTGAAGACAATGCAGTATGACAGAGCTGGCAGTGAATTATGAAATTATAACTGGAGCTGGAGCCTTTCAAAGGGAGGTTTTGCAACATGTAAAGTAATTCCTGTGGCATCTTGACTCACAAGCTTCCAATTGCCTAAATGGCTTGGTAAGCTGCCACTTCAGGCTGCCCCCATCCTGGTAAGACAAAGACAGGAAAAATACCATTGCCATCAATGAATCTCCTGATTGCCTGGGTTCTCAGAAGTCATGGCACTGGACCAGGCCAGTTTTTCCCAATGTGCATGGCTAAGCACATCTCATCAGCACTGACTATAGTAAACCATATCTTCCTTACTGTGTCAAAGTGTAGTCCTCTGAGGATTACCACATGATCCTGGTCTGAAGGGACTCATACAATAAGTGTTACCATTTATTGAGCACTTGTTATGCCCATGCAATGTGTGAAACACTCATATCTAATTTAAAATAGGATAAATAAATAGCACTGTCTTTATTTTACAGATGAGCCTAACTTGCCCAAGGCCTAAAGCTAGTAAGTAGAAGAACCAAGATTTGATCCTGGGAAGTCTGACTCCAGAACCCATGCCTTGAACTTCTGAAGCAGTGAGGAGACAGCTCTACCTAGTGCTAATCACACCACAGCCGGGCCCCAAGGGCTACAACAGTAGTTCCGCCCTTGGAAAAGGTCAGGGCACTCCCCGAGACCTAGTTCTTGCTCCCCTACTCTTTTACCATTGAAATCCCTTTGAGGGGATTCCCTCCATGGTTTTTCAGTATAGCTCTTTGTTAACAGAAAGCCAGGAGAAGTCCCGTAGAAAGAGACTAATAATTGTATACCTGAAAATCAAATATTCTTTGGCCAAATTGTATTCTTTCTTTAATATACGGAATTGTGTAGTCAAAACATCCTTGGGCCACTCCCAGCATCTGCCAAAAAAAAAAAGAGAGAAGAAGACAACCAGAATTTCTTATTTTGTTACACACTGATGCTTTTAATTATCCAAGTTATAAATTCCTTTACATGTAAATTGAATAGTTGGGGATAGGGAAAGAATTACAGATGCTGATGTGGTAAGATGTATGTTAATAACACATCTTCACACACTGCATTTGTAGAATTGAATTTCTAATAATTAGGAGAAAATTTTGAGTGATCTTGTATGAATATTAATACCTTTAATTCTAGTATAGAGGTGATCTCCTGGCACAGCTGTGTTCACACAACCAGACTACTTTTCAGGAATCTTCTTTAAGCTCTGATTCTCAGGCATAAAGTGAGTCACAGAAATTTTGCTCAGGACTGGCCACAAAGACTATATAGTAACTCCCTCCAATTCCTCTAGAAGTAAAATATGGAAGGTCACTTCTTAATTTTTTATCTTCCTGTCCATTTTGTACATGATTAGGATTAATAAGAGCCTGGATGGAAAGAACATTTGAACATAAGAGACCAACATTTCTCAATCCTGGCTCTACCGCAGAATCATTTGGGGAACTTGATTTTAAAAAAGTATAGATATACCTGACCTAACAACTGAACCTAAATCTTGGGAATAGAAGAGTAGCCAAGTGTGGCCTAGACCTCAGCATTTTAAAGATTCCTTAGGTAAAAGGATTGACAGTGGTAGAAAACTAGGGGGGGGGGGCCAGGGAGGGGAAGGGAGGTGGGATTAACAGTAGTCAATAACTGTTTGGGGATGGGGGGGCACACCTCATCAACAAGGGTACCTGCACAGTGCATATTTGTATACCTAAACCTTAACTGTACCCCACAATTTTAAAATAAAAAATGTTTAAAAAATAAATAAAAATAAAGATTCCTTAGGTGACTTACTGCATAGTTAGAGTTGAGAACTGATAGAGAATAATTATTAATTTACATGGCTGAAGAACAAATCAGGACATAGTGACAATTTTAGGAGAACTGTCTCATTGCTAACCAACTTTCATATCTAAACCATATTTGGAAATCGTTTCTAAATTTCAATGGTAGTTATTAACTCACTAATTATGTCAAACTGTGTAAGTTTTAGAAAAAGAAATAAAAAAATCAATAGTTAAAGCTTTGGGGGCAAATGCCCACAAACTTATCTATATTCCATTAGTGCTCATTCACATTTTCTTTTAGCATTTTATTTCAAACTTTCTGGGGAGTAAAAATTATGTTAAAAATTAAAGGGATAAGAGCTGGGTACGATGACTCATGCCTGTAATCCCAGCACTTTGGGAGGCAGAGATGAGAGGATTCCCTGAGTTCAAGGGCTCGAGACCAGCCCTGGCAACTTGGCAAGACCTTGTCTCTACAGTTAAAAAAAAAATTAGTTGGCCTTGGTGGTGCGGGTTTGTGATTCCAGCTACGTGGAAGGCTGAGGCGGAAGGACCATCTGAGCCCAGCAGATGGAGGCTGTGGTGGCCGTGAGTGTGCCACTGCACTCTAGCCTGGGCAACAGAGTGAGACTCCTACTTAAGGACAAAAAAAAAAAAGAAAGAAAACCACAAAACCCAGATTAAAATGAAACAGCAGACTCACTGTACTTTTGACTATGAGATATCATTGTACCCATATAGTTAAAGTTTAAAGTGTGTAAGAAATACCTCTATATTGACATGAAGATTGAAGTTCTCAGTTGTCAATAAAAAATAGACTTTTCCATCACAGCAAAATGTTTCCATTACAAACACTAAAAAACTAAATTCTCTCCAGCTGCAATGTTTTGAGGATAGAGACCTTGAGTTCACTGTTACACTCTATGCCTCTTCCTCTCAAAGGCATTCACTAAGACACAGTAACTACCTGACCTTAACTTTTAATTAGGTTATAAGATAACTTGGAGTAATTAAACTAAAGCCCAGGCCGTGTATTTTACTGCTGGAACATCTATATTATTTATATGTCTGGGAACAATGAGATGTAGTACTATAGTTTTTAATGCCATATCTGACTAAAGCTAAATCACAGCAAAACTTTAAAAAGAACTGATCAACTAATGTTCTTTAGTAACATAATGCCTACTATGTGGGAAACCTGAGTTAGGGCTTGATCTAAGAATAGTTAGCAAAGTCACAGGAACAGAAAAAAATCTAGAGCAATAATGCAATATTTATTGCAATAGATAATATATATGTAACATTTCAGAATTAAAAAGTTGTAAGTTCTTGAATTTTGGATACTCACTGATTAAAAATAAACAAATATACTCTACAAAAATGATGTGATTTATAATAAATCAAAGACCATTCATTTTGTTAATCTAAAAAGTAGTTGACATCACTTAATAGAAAAATGTAATATGCATTATAAAGGGCAGATCTGATTAAAAGAATCAAATAGTAGTTACTTGTATTTTTAATTGTGGCTATTTTATTTCATTTGCCATTCAAAACAATTACCTAATTTTCACACGCAAAATGCTAAGCAACAAATCTTTCATTATCTTTAGATAAGAGATCCCTACTACGCAGTAGAATGAATATTATTTATTCTTAATTTTTGAAATTCCTTCCAGAATGAATTTCATGCTTGGAGAAAAGCTGGTGTTTTAAAAAATGCCATAAGTAATTTAAAATACATTTTAGAAGTTAATAGTCCAGGTATTAGATAATACTTTAATGCTCTCAAAGCAGAAAAACTGTTACCACTAAGCCGTTGTTTGGTTCTCTGGACACTTACATAATTGATCACAATGGAATTTGAAAGAAATAATCAGAAGCCATTCTTTTACCTCATGTAAGGGAAGGGTGCCATCTTGTGTTCATAAGCTTCCAAAAATTCATTGGGCTCACAGTATTCTTTCTTTTTACATTGTAATTGACTCACATTTTGGAAGAACTAAAATTTTACTTACCTGTGCAGCAATTCCTATTCTACCTTCATTAAGACTCCCTATGGCGTACTTGTAGCCATGTCCAATTTGTCCCAAGATATTGGCTTCTGGAACCTAAAAATACAAATGTGCACTTATTTTTCAATTTTTTCTGAAACAGAGTCTTGCTCTGTTGCCCAGGCTGGAGTGCTCACTGCAGTCTTAATCTCCTGGGCTCAGGCGATCCTCCCACCTCAGTCTTTTGAGTAAGCTGGAACTATAGGCATGTGCCACCAGGCCCAGCTTATTATTATTATTATTATTTTAAGAGATGAGGTCTCACTATGTTGCTGAGGCTAATCTCAAACTGCCTAGGCTAATCTCAAACTCAAGTAATCCCCCTGCAGCCCCTCAGAGTGCTGGGATTACAGGTGTGAGCTACCATGCCTGGCTTATTTTTAAATTTAATTTGATATAATGCACTTTATGTATTTTTAAATGCATTTAGACATTCAATTTGTGTGATAGTCCTCTCACAGTACTTGCTGACTTTTCTGTCTCCCTCTACACTGTTTCCCCAGAGCTCTCTGAGGGAAAGGACTGACATCCTGTTGTTTGTTACTGCATTCTTCATCCTCATGCAATTTACTGAATGAATGAATGAACCTAGAAAAAGAAAATCTCATACAATTCATCACTAACACGAATAAATAATACCCCCCTAATTCTTATCTGTATGCTATAGTGTGAGATAACATATTAGGAACTACAAAAATATGCAAGTACTTGCAAAAACCAGAGAAGTAAGCCTTTCTTCTTTTGAGACTATTTATCCTCATAAAAACCAACTGGGTGTGTGTGTGTGTGTGTGTGTGTGTGTGTGTGTGTGTTCACCCAAGAGAGGAGGAAGGAGGAGAAAAGAAACAGACTAAAATGTTTACATATAATTTAAAAAAACTAAGACGAGAACAAAAACATATACTAAGCTTTATAATCTGGGCAGCTGATTATAAAGAGTAGAGGAGAAGGGAGGCAGGGAAAGTAGGAGGAAGGAGAACAGCTGGGGCAAAGTCGTGAGGCCCAAAAGATGTCTCTGAAGACACCCTCCCACTCGCCCCCCACACCCCTGAGCGAAAAGATCAGTCCCTGCTATGTGCGGTGGAAAACCCATCACAGCCTGCCTTACCTACGGCAACTTCTAAAGCACAAGCAGAAGCATTCCAGCAATCTCCTTCCTGTTCCTCGTTATTTAATAGACTCAACTTTAAACTGGTTGTTTTCTGCTCTCACTGAGCAACACTCCCATCTTGTGGCCTTTGGTGCACTGACACCAGACTTTCTTCTCTGAAGCCCTGTTTGGTTCACAAGTATCAAGTTTAAAAGCATAAATGGTTCAGACGTATGCAAGTTATACAACATAAATGGGATTAATTCCTGACATTTGTTCCCAAGTCCAGCGGCTGGCAGAAAAGTTTCCACTCTTGGCTTAAGCACCTGTGAAAAGTACGTTTAGTCATGATTTAAGAGCACCGTTCAAGAGTTGCCATAAAATACTCTCCTGGGCATGCTTTACCGTCGTCACTTAATATTTCGACACCTCTTTTGCACACCACCTATGCAAAGCTCATTTCATATTAGTCTTCTACTGATTATTCTGAGACTCACCTTGACATCTTCAAATGTTAACGGGCAGGTGGAAGAAGCTCTGATCCCCATTTTGTTTTCTGCCTTCCCTATGTGAAGGCCTGCTGTATCACGATCTACTAAGAAGCAGGTAATTCCTTTATAGCCCTAAAAAGAAGATTTAAAATGCTATCGCCACTGGATTTACAAAAATCCCTTGTTTCTAAAGAGTTCAAAGTAAAAGGAAAATTTGAAATGGACTTTAGTAATAAATACGAATGGATTCAGGATTGCAACGTGTGTGCTAAGAAACAGGAATGATAGAAAAACACGAGGCCCAAACTTGAGACCCGTATTGTTTCTTTCACTTTTTAAAAAACCATCATGGATATCAAAATTATCGTTACACTAAGTATATGATTATAGGAAGTCCATGTTTTGAGTTTAATTCTATTATGTACTTTAAGTTTTAACAATTTAATTCAATTATATATTATATTAGTGAAAAGATAAAGTGTATTTACCATTTTGCTACATTTTCCACCTGAACAAAATAGTCTCAAAAATAAATGTACTAAATAGGTACTTAAGTTATTCATTATTAAGTAGAAAATTAGAAATTCAACAAATTACAGACTGTATTCAACATCTTTAAAAAAAAAGAAATATCCGTGATTTAAAAAAACAACAAAAAAACACAAGACAATAAAAACAAATTAAAGATTAGCTCCCTATATAATGTATTAAGATATATGTAATAAATGGTCCTCTAATAATAGTTATCCCTCCATATCCATGGGAGATTGGTTCCAGGACCCCCTCAGATACCAAAATCTGAGGATCTTCAGGTCCCTTATGTAAAATGGCGTAGTATTTAAATACAACCTACGCACTTGTTCCTGTATATTTTAAATGCTCTCTAGATTATATATCACTTCATTCATGTAGATTCGATGTAGTATTTGTTGCACGGCATTTGCTTTTTGGAACTTTGTGGAATTTTTTTTTTTCCGAATACCTTTCATCTGGAATTGGTTTAATCCATAGATGCAGAACCCATGGATATGGAGGGCCAACTTAATTGATAATTGTGTCAACAATTTATTTTAGGAGATTAATAAATAGGTGGGTAAAAAGATGCCAGCTTGAGTCCAATATCTTTAATACTGAGAAGGAAGACTTTAAGAATAAATTTTTAAAAGGAAATGAAAGGAGGAAAAGATAAAGAGAAAAGATGAGGGAGAAAGGAAATAAATTTTGTTTTCGAACTTACAATGGAAAAGTCTACATTTGCCATCACCAGGAAGAGCCCTGCATACTCGGCACTGGTGATCCACATCTTTGACCCATTGATGACATAACAGTCTCCCTTTTTATCAGCTCTGGTCTTCAAAGCAAATGAGTCACTACCTGCTCCAGCCTCCGAAAGGCAGAAACTTCCTATCTACACATGTAAGAAAAAAATACAAATTAATAACTGTATTTATACTCTATAAAACAAATACTCATGGCAAAATGAACATTTGTAAATCAAGTCTTTAGCTTTTTTAAAAAGGCTGTACTTATCAAAATAGTAATGGTAGTCTGACAGTATTATTTTTCAAAATATGCCCTACTTGTCTAAGACAAATTTAAAGACTTAAGAAAATACACTTAAGTTTATCTAAATTGATTCTAATTTACATTCAATGTAAATTAAACCATCAACAAAAGTACTGGAAAATATAACTGGGACAAAAAGAAATCTTTATTGTCTGATGATTATTTTCTAGGTTTCCAAGTGGAAATAAGAGGTATATTTTTCTAGTAGCATTAATTTATTGAGTGTTATTTGATTAATTAATGGTGTTACATTGTGGTCTTGGATAGTAAAGTCAGCATTGCAGCTACTTTTCTCCTGAAAATATTAGAAACTTAGAAAAGACCAGCTCCATTTCAACAATTTGTTTCAACTCACCTTTTCTGTAGCCAGTTGGGGCAAATAGGTGGCCTTTTGTTCTTCTGTTCCATGTTTGCTAATCAGTTTGTTAGTTATTGTGTTCTGAACATCACACATGACAGCCACAGATGCATCAACTTTGGCTAATTCCTCTATTGCTAGGACAGAGGAAAAAAATGAAGCTCCTGTTCCTCTGTATTTTGTGTCAATTTCAATACCCATCAACTAAAGAAAAAACAAGGTGACATAGATTAAGAAAGCTATTTTAAACTTTTCTTAAGAGATTTCTTGTAAGAATAAGTTAAAAAATAAACAGTAACCATATTTTCTCTTGATTTTAAAATTTTGTATGTATATTTTATTTTAATTTGGTATGGAAATTTTGCTATAAGCAACCAAAAAAACCAAAACCAAAAACCAAAAACAACATCACTGTAACAGAAACTATATATATTTGAGGAGGATGAAATTGCATGGTATGTCTTTCCTTTTGGAATCCAAAAGTCAAAAATAAGTGAGGTAAAATGCTTTGAAGGGTAACTGAATGGAATGAAAAAATATCTTGTATAAATCCATTCTGATGACCTTTCTTGCTAAGAACTGTCGTTGCCTGCTTAAAGACTATGAGTGGTGTCTTGGACAGATTTCAGTATAATAAGAAAACAGAAGAAAATAACCTACCACTCAATGGGAGTGTTTACAGTTTTATTTGGCATAATCTCTTCTAGTCAGGCTCCTCTACCATGACTTTTTTAGCCAAGATACTAATTGAACGAGCATTTCTTTTGGGTCACTTCAGTAAATGTAGGGTGGTTAGCAGACAACAATTGGTAGTATTAGCTTGGGCCACACTAGACAAAGCACAGTGCTTGGTAAACACGACCAATGCTGGTCAAGGCTTTCCAACAGCCCCATTTGGTCACTACCCATGGTACTGGAACAAGAAACTTCCACAATGCTCTCAATTTCAGAAAGATGATGTGTGCATGTATAATTTGAGACCCATAGCTATTAACAGATAAAGGATAATGCTCCAAGTCTTTCTAGGCATTCTTGGAGTCACATTGTGCTGCAGTCAGGGCTATGACTATTATGTTTTGGGCTATGATATGAACCACAAAAGGAGACAGACAATCGAGATTGTAAGAGACCCAGAAATGATGCCCTACCAGAAGCACTGAAGGATCTGGGTGTGCTTGAGGACTAAGAAAGGCACACTAACTACCTCATTATAATGTCTTAAACAGATGTCAGAGACACTGCTTCTCTAAAAAAGTCACTAATTTCTCTCAAAATGAAAATATCATTTTTTGCTAGCTATTATGGTAGGTGACCAAACAGCTGGGACAAGAGGAGTGAGAAGGTAGATGAGGCTGCATCTAAGCAAAATAAGTTTTTGGAGATGCATAGTAGGGTATACACAACGGATCAGTCTGCAGGCAGCTCTGGCTGCAAGAACTACCACTTCAGGAGAGATGTTTCACACTGTGAAACCACAAGACTTCCCAGAGAAGCCTAGAGGGTCTGCAAGCAATGGAAATAAAACTTGGCTGAGAAGTGGATTCTCAGAGTCTATCTGTTCTATGCATTGGGCTTCTGTTTGACCCACTATGACTCTACAGAAGATTCTGTTTTCCCAAGAGTTTCACTGCTAAAAGAAAGTTGGAAAAAGCACACCATACATGGCATAAAAAAGCTGGTTGCTTTAAGAGGAAGAAATAAAACTATCTAGCTAAGTGGCAAAGGTTCTTTTTCAAATGGGATGGCAGACAAGATTTAGGGATGTCCTTAGTATTCCAAATAAAGAAATATTACTTCATATATATGGATAACAGAGAAATTATGAGTGAATGAAGTGATTTTTAAAACATTCTTCCAGGAACCACCCCCCCAACCTACCACCCCATGCTAGAAGCTTCTCCCTCTACCCACAACTAGAGCAATTCTTTTATTTATTATATATGTTGTACTTCCATTAAAGAGCTATGTGACTTAAAAACTTGGAAATCTGTTGCCCTGATTAATGTATGCTGGAATTCACATATCACCTTTGTTTTAAGTTTACCACCTATACAGGGATTCAGGTAGAATACATACTATGCTATGAAGTTTTACTGTCTAAAGTAGGGTTTCTTAAATTATGTATTAGGCTGGATGATTCTTTGTTGTGGCAGCTGTCTGTGCATTATAAGATGTTTGTAGCACCCTTTGCCTCTATTTCACTAGATGCCAGTAGCATGCCACAGTTTTGAGAACCAAGAAAGTCTCCAGACATTGCCCAATGTCTCCTGGAAGGCAAAATTTCTTCTGGCCAAGAACTACTGGTCTAAAGAAATAAATCACTGTCTCACTTCTAAACTTTTCCTTAAACAGTATAGTATTTCTAATTTAAAATATTAATTCCATTTAAAAAATATTTCAGTATATAAATATTAACTAGGATCTCAATCTCAAAAAATAGATAATTCTGGCTAGAAAATGAAGAGTTCATCATGCTATTATTACAATCCCTAAATTTAAAAATATGCATACATTTTAATACTGAAATGTGTTTATAAAAGTTTGAAATTGGAAGAATTATAAAATATACCCCTTGTTGAAATAATCCTTGTATTACAGACTTTTCCATTTTCGAATTTTCATCCATTGTTGAAACCAAAGGAGCAATGTGATCCTCTGCAAATTTTTTAACTGCAGGAAAAATAATTACTGATAAGTCAATGTTCAACTGACAGTCATATTAATAACGATTATAATAGTTCACTAACAGTTTGTTGACAAAATCTTACTTTTTAACCAACAAGTTAAAATATATACAGGTGCTCTTTTTGTTCTTTTAAATACAATTTTTGGAGTACTTATTTATTTATTTATTGGAGTAGGAGTCTCACTCTGTCTTCCAGGCTGGAGTGTACTGGCAAGCTCAGAGTTACCCCAGCCTCGACCTGCTGGACGCAGGTGACCCTTCAATCTTAGCCTTCCAAATAGCTGGAACCACAGGCACATGCTACCATACCTGGCTAATTTTTTTGGATTTATTGTAGAGATGAAGTCTCACCAAGTTGCCCAGGCAGTCTTGAATCCCTGGGCTCAGGCAATCCTCTCACCTCTGTCTCCCAAAATGCTAGAATTACAGGCATAAGAAACTGCGCCTGTAGTTTTTTTTGAAACACAGAAAGGTAGAATTTCCAACCCCTTTTGCAACCCTTTGATGATATTAAAAAATAAATAATACAAGTATATGGGACAAAAACATAAACAATACAGAAAGCACAAAATGAAAGCTATGCTCTCTGCCCCAGTTTTCTAGTCCCTCAACCCAAAGGTAACTAATTTTAAGTTTACTATGTATTCTATTCTAATAACTTTTCTTTGAAAACCATCTATACTCATCTATATAGACATATACCTTATACACAAACACACATACACATGCATGCGCGCGCACACACACACACACACACACACACACACACACACACACTATACAAAGAAACCATAAGATACATTTAACTATTCCTGGCTTTCCCCCTACTTATATCTTGATGACCTTTGATGTCAGCACAACCATCTAACTTGGTCCTTGTAATAGCTGCATGGTCATAAAGAACAGGGTTTTTCCATCTTGCCACTACTGACATTTTAGGGCAGGCAAGTCTTTGTGGTGGAGGATGTCCTGCACACTGTAAGATATTTAGCAGCATCCCTGGCCTCTACCCACTAGATATCTGTACTTTCCCTCACTCCTAAATTGTAGCAATCAAAAATATCTCTAGATATTGCTAAATGTCCCCCAGGGCAAAACTGCCCTCAGTTGAAAACCGCTGTTTCAGATCATTACAGTTTCACTTTTTATGCACCTGGAATTCCTTTTGATGAAAATACCTTCTTAGCTTTACTACAATCATAATACCAAGTGCCATGCAGGGGTAAAGAAAGCAACCAGGTTGAACTGAGAGTTCAGTGCATATTGGGCTGGCTCTAGCACTCTTCCGTTTCTGCATAAGTGGGTCCCTCTATCTAGAATGTCTCCCATTTACTTGTCCAACTGGCTGGCTGCCCTTCATCCTTCAAGGTGCAGCTCAAGCACTGCATTCTGGGAAGCCTTTCCTGGCTTCCCCATCCACTTCTGCTGCTCCTAGCACATTGTAAGCATATTCAGCTTTGCCTCCCGAATACCTCCATGATGTTTACCGTGTTGTTCTGAAAATATTTCTCTTGATTGTCATTGTCGCTAGACTCTGAGATCCTTAAAGGCAGTAATTTTTTTCTTGCCCATCTTTGTTGCTTCTGTACACATGAAAGACTAAAGACAGAAAACCAAGGTACTCTAAGCAAATTGCTTTAATTTATGTTAAATATTTGACCACTTATCCTATTTCTTCCTTATCTACCTCAATCTCACTTCCTTCAGAGACCATTTCTAAAAGTTGAGGGAGCAAAGGAAAAGAAATTTACTTATTATGGTAGGCAGATTTCTAAGATGACCCCAAGAGTCCCAGCCCCTGGTATACACATGTCCTTGCTCATTCAATAAAACACAAATCTAAGTGCTGCTATGGAGGAATTTTACAAATATAATTAAGGTCTCAAATCAGCTAGCTGACCTTAAAACAGAGAGATGATAGTTGGTGGGCCTGACTTAATCAGGTGAGCACTTAAAAAAGATGGGTTTTTTTCTGGTGAAACAGGTTTTAAGTAGGAGAGGAATTTGATGCAAGGGAGAGTTACTGGTTTTCAAGATGGAGGGAGCCATGTGGCAAGGGATTAGAGGTTCCAGAGAGAGCTTAGAGCAACCTTTGGCTGACAGTCAACTGGGAAACAGGGTCTCAGTCCTGCAACTACAAGGAACTGAGTCCTAACACAACCATGTGAGACAGAAGGACTCTGAGCTCCAGGTGAAAATGAAGCCCAACTGACCCCTAATGTCAGCCTTCTGAGACCCTGAGCCAGAACTCTCCATGCCTGGACTTCTGACCTGCAAAAGTGTTACCTACTAAGTGGGTGCTGCTTTATTTAATAATACCTTGTAGTAATTTGACACATAGCAATAGAAAACAAATACATTTATCATCTATATCCTTCAAGAACAACATTTTGATATGATGCTACAGATTTTTAAGTATATCATACCTTTACATATCTATCTATCTAAATAAATGAATTTAACAGCTTTACAGTTTAGTGACATTCAGCTTCTGCTTCTTTTTTTAGGCTCCCTGTGTCAACCACAGGCATCTAACAAATAAAGGTAAATAAAATATTAAAATCCTTATCTGAAAAAAAAAGTGGAACATATATATACTTCTAACTGTGCAAGACTATATAACTGGTAGCAAGATGGCTTCTGGCAAGAACTGGGGAACCAAAGAACAGGGAGAAACTTTACTTTTAACCACGTAGCCTTTTATTCTGTTGTTGCTGTTTTAATTTTGGATGTGCATTACTTTTTTCAAAAAGGAATTTTTTAAAGTCAAAAGCTCCTTTCACAAACTTAGATGAACGTGTCTTCCAATTGCATCATATGTAATTCCACACTGTAGACCCAACTCATGACCAGAGAAATAAGGTGAAGCTGAGGATATACTTACCCGAACTCTTTATCATCATTTCCTCTTCTGTAAGTGTTTGCAGTGGGGCAAAGAGTAGTCCATTACTTGTTACATCGAGCAGAGCTTCTGAATGGGAAGACTTTAGGACTCGAGGAGGAATTTTCCAAGAAGACAGGCAAGTCAGGAAATTTCTTCTTAGCTATAGGAACAGCCCCCATTGAATAGGGAACACATACACACACAAAAGAAAGGTATTTGAATATCAGATTGTTTGAGAATAACTTTGTAACCCATTCTAACATTTCATATCACCAAAATAAGGGTGCTTAACCCAGTGTATTTTTAAATTCATCGTCTTCTGAACATAACACAAATTAGTCTGTTAACATTATATGATAATTCCTTTATCCGGCAATGAGCAGTTCTAAATAAACAATTTCCTAGATAACTAACTTTTTTCAATCAAGGAAACAGAACTTTCTACGTGGAATTCATTCTCCAAATGTACTTTATGCCTCACTGACTTCTCAGAGAGGGAAACTGGAATTACAACACTGCTGGTGTCTAAGCTGACTGCTGTTGAAAGCATTCTCTTATGAGGGCCCAGAGCTACCTGCACTGAATGGTCTTGGGCAGCTGTGTTTCTGCAATTCTTATGGCTAATTTTGTTTCTTCAGACTCTCATTAGTAAAAGAGAGTACAGCGTAAGGGCTAAGAAAACAGGCTCTGGAGTCTGAAAGAATGAGTTTCAACTCCTAGCATCTGATATTTATTTTGAGTTGAGGTCTCACTCTGTTGCCCAGGCTGGAGTGCAGTGGCACGATGACAGCACACTGCAGCCTCAGCCTCGTCAGTTCAAGGGATCCTCTCATCTCAGCCTCTCGAGTAGCTGGGACTATAGAAGCACGCCACTGTGACTGGTTATTTTTTTATTTTTGTAGAGTCAAGGTGTCACTATTTTGCCCAGGTTGGTCTTGAACTCCTGGGCTCAAGTGATTCGCCCACCTCGTCCTCCCAAAGTGCTGGAATTACAGGTGTGAGTCACTGTGCCAAGAAACTTAAGAAAGCAGTAGATCTTACATTAATATCTATTTTTCCCACCAACACAGCTACGAGCTTCTTAGTTACAATACTGCTACCGACAAAATATATGACTGTTCAACACATAGCAATGATTTTAGATTCACAGACACCAGAGGCAAATGTACTTTAGAGAACATGAAATGGTATACAATTACAGAGCGAGATTATTAAAGATGCTCATCATAAAATACAGCAACTATATGCTAAGTGACTGGTATCCATTTTTAACCAAAGCACTGAGAGATATTACCTACGCTTTGTGGCAGAAAAAACATTTCCATTTAATATAAGTCTTTAATAAAGAAAACTTTTCCTTTCCTTGCCTTAAATTGCACAGCCTGAGGTTTCAATGTTGATTTTCTAATGTCTCCTAGCCTTCAATGTTGACCTCAGCCTTTGCAGCTGTGGTGTCCACTCCATCAAAATGATTTTCCACAGTTATAACCCATTGCACCACATCATCACATTTTTTTTGTATAGAGCAGCAATTGCTACTTGAATGGAATAATGGTTATTTATGCCATGCCAAATACTTCTCAGAGCTTGAGTCGGTTCTCTTGCCTACTCAACTGACCAGAATTCTGTTGCACTGGGAAGTGCTGATGATCAAACCTGGGCTTCTGTAGATAGAACAATAAAATCCATGAACTTGGATGGGGGAAAATCACATCGTTATTTCATTAGACTCTAACTGTAATACAGCATTTCCTTCAGTTATGAATGTAGGCAACAAGTTACAGTAGTATTAGCACTATCTGTGACATTGTCATAAAAATAAATTATAGATTTTTTATATCACATTAAGTTGACACAAATATCTTTAGGAGTATTATTTGTGCTCTCCACTACTTTAAGTTTATAGCAGTTATTAGAACTGCTGTCAGATCTTATTAAGAAACATAATGTATAACAATTTAAAAAATATTTTATTTATTTTTATAGCAGTCTCACTCTGTTGCCCATGCTGGAGTACAGTGACATGATCACGGCTCACTATAGTCTTGACCTCCTGGGCTCAGACAAGCCTTCTGCCTCAGTCTTGCGAGTAGCTGGGACTACAGGCACACATCACCATGCCTGGCTAATTTTAAAAAATCTTTTGTAGAAACAAAGTTTCACTATGCTGCCCAGGCTAGTTTTGAACACTTGGCCTCAAGCAATAACCCCACATTGGCCTCCCAGTGTGCTGGAATTACAGGAGTGGGCCACTGCACCAGGCCTAAGAAATATTTTTATAATTTTTATTTTAACTGATTTCCTTTGTAATCCTATATATTATTTTTTGCATTTTTAAACATTTTTAGAAAAGGTCTGTAAACTTTACTACATTGCTGTTTACTCTTCACTCCTGGAACAAAAAAGTTTAAGAACCTCTGACTGGGGAATGTTCTGGTAGTTTCTTTTGCAAAACTCATTAAGTTTAGCCACTGTGTTAGTCCCAACCCTTTCTCCATTATGCTATAGTATGAGGAAGTATTGCTCCAAGCATTTTTAAAGTACTTCAAATCTAGAAGCTTTTATAATATATGAAAAGCAAAGAAAGACGTACATGAAAAGTCACAGAAAATACTCTGCTATAACAAGTGTGCTTCACTTTAAGTCCCTAGTCATTGGTTCCCACCCAATGTGCCCTCCTGGCTCTCTCTCCTTTCTGAGACAGATTCAGAGGTACATCTGTGATCCAGTCTGCTGTCGACACAGATGTCAGCATAGAGCACAGCACAAAGCTCCCTTAGCTCAACTTCTTAGGAGATTCCCTTCCTTTTTCCTGAAATATGGACAGCTTCACTTTCCTCAAAGTACGTTACTTTGCCCCTGAAGCTTTTTAGTGGAAACTTTCTTCTCTCACAATCTACCTTTTTAGAAGTGAGGAGATATGGCCATTAACTAGTTACTCCTCAGCAAAACCTCAAGAACACTATACCTCACTCCTTTTGTGGGAGGAACAGGGAGGAAACTGAAGAAGAAAGGAGGCCATTTCCTTTGAGGCTTAGGTCAGCTATCAATCACTCCCTCTGCCCTTCCTCATGGCCAACTTTTTTTCTCCCCTCTGGCCAATTTCCTTTAATTAACGGAACCCGGTTTACAATATCCTCTCCACTCCACACCTGCCAGTATCCAAAGAGTGTGCTGAGTCCATGAGACCAGCAAAGTCTGGCCTTGAACTCTTCATCTCCAGTGACTTTTCCCACTGCTACCCACTCGGAGTCATCTCTCATAACCGCTGTCTCCTCAAGTCTCTATTTCAGACCACAGTTTTCCAGCTTGCCGGCTAAACTATACCACTGACTTCTAGAACATGGCCAGTTTTCTATCCCTTCACACATCAAATACCTCTGTCCTCAACAAAGAGTCTTTCCTGCTTTGTTTACCCTCGTCACCCAGCTTGGGTTTCACGGTTGATCTTTCATTCATTTCACAATACCCTACATTCACTACCACAGAATCCTTATCTCCATCTCTTCTTTTAACTTTTTATATTGAGATGTTAGCCTTACAGAAAAGTAACTGAGTTCTTGGATACCCTTCACCCAGTTTCCCTAATCATCAGCACCTTATCTAACGATCTTCAATTTTCACTCTGACCTCCCAGTCAGGAGACATACACAGAGGGAGCCTCATCCACCACTATGCATTCGTGGCTCCAATCTCAACTTAGTGCTCAAGATTACCTGGCACTTGAGTTTCTGTAGTCAGTCCCTTTTCCATTCTCTGAAACGATTACCTCAAATCCCACACTCTCCTCAAAGCTCTACCCCTCACTGCCAGCTTATGACCTCTCCTTCTGTTAAAGATAAAATAAATGCCAACAAATGAGAAACACCTCAATTTTTTTTTTTTACCGCCAAACCCTTAAATCATCCTGCATCTGCACTCACCTTTTCCTTCTTCCTAAAACTTAAATAATGTCGTGACCCGCCTTTTAGGAAAAGTCAGTCCCTTGACCTCTTCTCTGATCCCATCCCTCCTATCTTCTCAAGATCCTTAGCCATCACTTTTGTCCTCTCATGTTTTTTACCATCTCTCCCTCAAACTCCTCCTCGACATGAAAATCCTGCTCTAATTCTTACCATGTTAACCATTGTGGACCTTGCGTCCACCTCCAGCTACTACCCTTTCTCCTCCGCTACACAGCCAAACAGTGCCAAAAGTAGCCTTACTTGCTGTCTCTACCTCCTTCCCCAATTCCATTCACTCTTCAACCCACCCTAAGATGGCTCCCCGCCACAGCAGAATTGTTCTCAATAAGGTCACAAATGTCTCCACGCTTTTCAGGCTTCAACTAATTTGCCCTCAGCAGATTCAGCTCCACTGAGCAAATCCTCCTTCTTCCAAATACTCTTATCTCTGATTCACTCTGGACTTCACTCTGCCCTTGTTTTCCTCCCATTCTTTCCAGCTCCAATCTTTTCTCAGTTCCCTGTAATTTCTCCCCCACTACTTGACCTGTAAGGGTTGGGGAAGTTGGGGACAGGAGGGGGGCGGGTAGGGAGGGAAGAGAAACTCTATAATTTGTGGGTTGAATGATTAAATCACTATTGTGATCACTTTGGACAATTCATTGGTAGTAAAGATAAAGATGTTTGGGTGCAGTGCCTCGTACTTGTAACCCCAGTACTCTGGGAGGCCAAGGAGAGAGAACTGTCTGAGCCTAGGAGCTGAGACCAGCCTGGGCAACATGGTGAGACCTCATCTCCACAAAAATAAAAAAATTAGCTGGGTGTAGTGGTGTGCATCTGAAATGCCAGCTACTTGAAAAGTTGAGGAAGAAGGATCGCCTGAGCCCAGCAGGTTGAGGCTGTGGTAGTTGTGACTGTGAGGGTCACCATACTCGTCTAGATGACAGAGTGAGACTGTGCACACACAAAACAAACAGACAAAAAAGATAAAGACATATGCTACGGCTTGGATGTGTCCACTCCAAAATTCAGGTGTTGAAACTTAATATGATAATGGGGGGGCCTTTAAGAGGTGATTAACCCAGGAGGGTTCCTCCTTCACGAATGAGATTTAAAGCCTTTATAAAAGAGGCTTCATACAGCACGAGGCTTGCTTGCTCTTATGGTCCACCAAGTGAGGATGTACCAAGAAAGCCCTCATCACACAACTGAATTT